TAACTGTACTGTATACCTAAAATGTACCAATAAACACAATGAGAAAAAAAAAAACTTATCACCTAAGAAAGGCCCAGGCCCTGCTCCCTTCACTATGGAATTCTACAAGACATTTGGAGAGAACTACAGCCAATATTGTTTAAACTCTTCAATGAAATTGAAAAGGAAGCAATAATCCCAAATTTATTCCTAGAAGCAAGCATCACATTAATCCCCAAAACACAGAGAGACCCAACCAAAATGAGAACTATAGACCAATCTCACTAATGAACATAGATGCAAAAATCTTTAATAAGATACTGGCAAATAGAATGCAAAAGATCATGAAGGACATCGTACACCCTGACCAAGTGGGATTCATCCTAGGGATGCAGGGATGGTTCAACATATGCAAATCAATAAATGTAATACACTATATTAACAGAGCTAAGGACAAAAACCATATGATCATCTCAACAGATGCCGAAAAAGCATTCTACAATATCCAACACCCATTCATGATTTAAAATAAAACCTACATGAAATTGTCATAGACGGTCTCTACCTCAGTCTGATAAAAGCCATTTATGAAAACCAACAGCCAACATCATACTAAATGATCAAAAACTGAAAAGGTTGTCACTAAAATCAGGAACAAGACAAGGATGTCCACTATCCCCACTCCTGTTCAATATAGTTTGGAAACATTAGCCACAGCAACTAGACAAGAGAAAGAAATAAAAGGAATAGAGATAGGAAAGGAAGAAGGAAAATTGTCATCATTTGCAGATGACATGATACTCTATTTAGAAGACCACAAGAACTCCACTTCTAGATTTAATAACCAAATTCAGTAAAATATCTGGATTCAATGTAACACAAAAATATAAACAGCTCATTGAGAGAGAAATGGGCAATCAATTCCTTTCACAACAGCATCCATAAACAGCAACCTAGGAATCAACCTAGCAAAAGAAATCAGAGATCACTACTCTGTAGCCTATAGAACTCTGAAAAAAGACTAAAGAGGATATCAGAAAATGGAAAGATATTTCTTGCTCCTGGGTAGGAAGACTCAACATAGTGAAAATGGCCATACTTCCAAAACTGTTATATAGATTCAATGGAATCCCAATTGAAATCCCAGCAGCATATTTCACAGACCTTGAGAAAACAAAAATTCATTTGGAACAAGAGGAGACCTAGAATAGCAAAAGCAATTTTAGGTAATAAATAGATGTAGGGGGTATCAAAATCCCCTACTTGAAATTATACTGCAGAACTACAGTGATAAAAACAGCATGATACTGGCAAAAAAAACAACCTGAGGACCAGTGGAACAGATTAGAAGATGTAAAAACAACTCCAGACATATTCAGCCACCTCATCTATGACAAAGGAGCCAAATACCCTCACTGGAGGAAAGATAGCCTCTGTAATAAGTGGGCCTGGAAAAACTAGGTTTCAAATTGTGAAAGATTAAAACTAGACCTTATCTCTCACCATGCACTAAACTAAAATCAAAATGGATTAAAGATCTAAATATTAACATGAAAAAACTACACGAGCCAAAAGAGAGGTTTATATAGAACTCTGGAAGACTTGGTGTGGGAAAAGATTTTGTGTACAGAACCTCAGCTGTCCAATCAACAAGTGGAATGTCTTCTTTTTAAAATTCTTTTGCACAGCAAGAGAAATGACCAACAATGTTAAGAGAAAACTCACAATGTGGGAAAAAATATTCACCAGCTCTTCCTCAGACAAAGACTACTATCTAGAATACATAAAGAACTTAAAAAAATCAAACCTCCCAAATTTAAAGACCCAATCCAAAAATGGTCATCTGAAACAGATGACATTTCTCAGACAATGAAGTAGAAATGGCAAAAAAAAAAAAATGAAAAAATGTTCAACATTACTGGTCATTGAGAAATGCAAGTGAAAACAATGCTGAGATTCCACCTCACCCCAGAAAGAATGGCTGCTATCACAAAATCAACTACCAACATATGCTGGTGGGGCTGTGGGGAAAGAGGAACCCTGCTCCAGTGCTGGTGGGATTGCCCACTGGTGCAACCACTTGCAAATACTTCAAAGATCTAGTATTGAAAGTGCCATTTGACCCAACTATTCTCCTGTTGGATATCTTCCCTAAAGAATTAAAAGAATCATATCATTGTGATATATGTGCACTCATGTTAATAACAGTACAATATGTAATAGCTAAAAGTTGGAAGCAGCCAAAATGCCCATCAATGGGAGACTGGATAAAGAAAATGTATTTTTCTATAAAATGGAATACTACTCAGCCATAAAAAATGAGAAACTCGGCACATTTATAGCTAAATGGATGCACATTGAGACCATAGTCTGAAGTGAAATTAATAGGACACACATGTGTAAATACTGAGTAGTTTCTCTAGTGTGAGAAACTGAAAATGAAAATAAGGACTGAAATTTATAATAGAAAATGTGAAATGGAATAAAAGGGATAAAGATGATGGGTAAGTGGGAGGGTTAGGGGAAAGGAAAGAATGAAATGTAATGAATATGAGAAAATGAGAAAGAATTGAAACAAAGCCTTTGTAGATAGGGAGGGAGGGAGGAGTTGAAGGGAGGGCTAGGAAAAAACAAGAACCAAGTATGATTATGTAAAGGCACAATTTTCCACCAATGAATATCATTATATTGTTTACATTAAATGCACCAATAAAATTAATTGAAAAAACAAGCAATGGATTATAAATGAAGTCAAAGAATAAATTAGTCAATCTCTACAAATAAATGATAATGTCAGTAAAACATACTGGAACATATGTGACACAAAGCAATCCCACAAGGGAAATTTATAATAGTGAATTTCCAATCCAGAAAAACAAAATGAGCTCAAATAAAACACACAATGTTGACCCTCAAGCTTCTAGAATATAAAGAAGGTATCAGAAAAATATCTCCTGTTCTTAGGTAGGAAGAACCAATATAGTCAAAATTACCATGCTTCCAAAACTGTTACACAGTTTTTTTTTTCATTATGTTTATTGGTACATTTTAGGTATAGAATATAATGACATCATCACTGGAAATTTGTACCTATACATAATCTATCTTTATTCTTATTTTTCCCCATTCCCCTGCCCTCCCTTCAACCCCTCCACCCCTCCCTAAGAATTAATTCAATCCTGATCAAAATATCAATCACATATCTCACAGAACTAGAGAAAACAATCCTAAAATTCATTTGAAACTGGAAGATACATAGAATAGCAAAAGCAATTCTGACCAGCAAAGGCAAGGCTGGGAGTATCACAATCCCTGACTGAAATTATACTGCAAATCTACTGTGATTAAAAATGCATGGCACTGTTGGAGTAGTGGATTTGTCTCAGTGGTTCTGATGCCTGCCTCGCAAACCCAAGCTCCTGAGTTTAAAACCTTGTACCACAAAAAATAAAAATAAGAAAATGCACAGTACTGTCAAAAAACACACCTGAGGATCAATAGAAAAGATAATCAGATGCAGAAATAACTCCAACTACACTCTTCCATCTTATCTTTAACAAATGACTTAAAGACCTTCACTGAAAGAATGATAGAGTCTTTAATAAATGGTAATGGAAATATTGGGTTTTCACTTGCTGAAGGTTAAAACTAGTCCTATATTTTTCACTATGCACTAAGCTAAAATGCAAATGGATCAAAGATCTAAACATTAAAACAGGAACAATAAATCTGGTGGAATATATATTAGGCAGAATTCTTGAAGATATTGGTGTAGGCAAAGAGTTTATGAACAAAACCCCAATCACATAGGAACTATCATGAAGAATCAACAACTAGGATCTCATCCTATTAAAAACTTTTGCACAGCAAAAGAAACCAGCAACGTAGTGAAGAGACAACCTAGAGTGTCAGAAAAAATTTTGTAAATTTTTCCTCAGACATAGGACTAATATCTAGAGTATAAAAACCCAAAATAATCAGACCGTACAAATTTAAACACCCAATCCAAAAATGGTCACCTGAAATTAATAGGCATTTCTAGATTAAGAAGTACAAATAGAAAATAAATATATTAAAAATGTTCAACTGTTATGGAAGGAATCAGTAAGTGACACACAGAGAGGCAGCATAATGGAAGAAAAATAACAAATTTACTCATTGATAAGTGTTGATTGCACATAAGCCATGCCTGGATCAACAGTGCACTGGGTTATAATTCCCCCTTTTATAGGGTTTTACAGCCTTCGCTTCAGTTACATTTCATTCTCACAGCTCAAATCACAGTCACAAAATGGTTACTCTTTTGAATCCAGATATAACAGTTCTTTGCAGTTGGGGAGTTTACCTTTAAGTTCACCTAGATATCTACTCTAGTCCATAGGAAGGGGGTGTTCAGGGTCAGGGGAGTGAGTGTTGGAAATGGTCCTTTTTATCTTGACACTTTTAAGATCAGGTGGCTTCAGTCTCTCTGAAGCTCAAGACCCTGATGTGCCCTATTATCTCAGGGTAAAACCAAATGCCTCATTCAGCATTTAGTGCCTTTGGTGCCTATTAGTTTTTTGTTTCTGTTTTTGCTTTGTTTTGTTTTGGTACCGGGGATTGAACTCAGGTCCTTGTACTTGCAAGGCAGGTGGCAGAACCATTGAACTAAATCCCCAGCCCTGGTGCCCATTAGTTTTGAGCAAAACAAAACAAATTGCTGTTAGAGACAGCAGAAGCCACTTTCAATTGTACCACTTTATAGGTTTTTGCTATCTATAAAAGTTTTCCCTATCACAACATCACTGGTTAATTGAGACAATTGACACAACTGTGAGATTACACTTCACTCCAGAAAACATGGCTGTTATCAAGAAATCAACCAACAACAAATGCTGGCAGGGTTATGAGAGATAAAGGAGCCCTTCTCCACTGTTGGTGGTAGTGTAGGCTGGTGCAACTATTGTGAAGATCAGTGTAGAATTTGCTCAAAACACGAAAACTAGAGATAACATTTGAGCAACCTATTCTCATTCTTGGTGTCTTCCCCCAAAAAATTAAAAACATCAAAGCATAGCATTATATGTGCAACAGTGTTTATGGAAGCCGAGTCAATAATAGCTGAATCTTGGAAACAGCCAATATGTCATTTTTTTTTCATACAGTGGAGTACTACAAAACATACTTACAAATCTAAACTTCTTGCTTTTTTACCCATTTGATTTTCATAAGGCCTGTGTGATTTTGTCCAATTTAACAATTCGTCCCTCACACAGCCTGTCTGTGTTTTGCCTATCCATATAGTTATTGGTGTACTTTTGACTCTTATTTTAACCACTCAATTCCCACAGAGCCTATCCCCTTTTGTCCCTCAGTTTCATCCTTCAGTTTCATCATTCACTCCTGGTGAGACCTCCCACATGTGGCTTCAGTGAGTCTCATTTATTAAAATATTTATGGTAATGTACATGTCAATAGTCAAGTACAATTATCATAGGAGTTCTGCAATTAGAATTACATATTCCTTAAACAGGATTACAATATATATGTAAATCAAGAAAGCAAAGGTGTTGTAAAATATGGAGGATCATCTTTGTAATGTTTTAATCCATGGTGGTTGACTTAAATGAAATTGCCTCACTTGTAACACATTAAATCTGAAGGAGTTTTACTCCCTCTTTTGCTTCTTTACCATCTTCACAAAATTTCGAGAACAAATCAGGCAACATTTTATGACAAGGAAAGTAATGATCACCACACCAGCCAGTAGGAACCCAATCACATCCAGTGAGTGGTACTGGTACCAGGTGAGGTTCTGGGCAAGTGGCCTCAGGTGCTTGGCCCCTTTGTGGCGCATGACAAACTCTATCCAGAAGGCTGCTCGGTCCAGGGGCTTCATGGGCTGATCATGGTGAATAGTTGACAACCACATAGCATTCTCCTTATAACTGAAGGAAAATTAAATAAGTTTAGACATTTTAACATGGTGGAATGTGAATTTTTGGAAGTGGTAAACATGAATGTAAAAACCTGTTAAAAGAAATTATCTTCTTTCAGTAGTCATTTTAGAAATCTTAGTAATTTAGAACTGTTTAACACATAAGATTTGAAGAAGTGAACAGAAAGGCTAGGGGAGCACTGTTATTTCTAAGCTAAAGTCTGGAATAAGTTCTTTCCCAAAGTAAAACAAACAAAAACTAACAGAAACATATGGGGTATTTATGAGACAGATCTAGAATTGTACAGTAAAAAATTGTTAATAGACCTGTTATACAAGGTTCAAATAAGAAGTAAACAGTGAAACAGGAATCATGAATGATATGAGGGTGTGATCCATGTATCTATAAACTCAAAACAGAGATATTTACAAAAAGGCAACAAATAAGAGTCAGGGCAGTATTCAAATGACACAATCTATTTTTTAATTTTGATGACTGAACTATTGATGAAAATTTCAATACTGCTTTCTGGTCAATACTACACTCCTTAATGAGTTTACTCACAGATGTAGTATGAACCTTGACAAGGTATTCTTTTTGCTCTAAATCATGTTGCAGACCAGAAAGCAGTATTGAAATTTTCATCAATAGTTCAGTCATTAAAACTAAAAAACAGATTTTGTTGTTTGAATACTGTACTGACTCTTATTTGTTGCCTTTTTATAAATATCTCTGTTTTGGGTTCAGAGATACATGGATCAAACCCTTACATCATTCATGATTCCTGTTTCACTGTTTCCTTCATATTCCTTGTAATTCCTCTGTGACCATCCTCAGTGATTCCTCTCATTCCATATACAGGTTATTTCAACATTTTACACTCTGCCTAAACCTTGCACAAATATTTCAAATAAGAACACTGAAAAAAATTATTGTGACACTGAACCTCATGTCTAATGATGGCTTCAGCATTAAACAAATTTGTATTTCATTATTTCCACTTCAGACTAATTGCTACTTCCTTCACCTCCCTGTCAGAACTTATTTCTAAGCAGAATATACATTATAAAAAGAAGTTTGTACTCACAAAGGGCTGTTAAGGACCGTCTTCAGTGCATTTAGCAATTCTGTACTTGTTATTGTAATGAAATTCACTTTGACAGCTGCTCCTTTAGCCACCATGTTAGCAATGTTATCATACTGTTCCCCAAACAAAGGAATGCCCACCATAGGGATCCCATGGTAGATCGCCTCGTAAACACCGTTGGCTCCACCATGAGTGACAAAAGCTCTCGTTTTTGGATGACCTAAAATTAGGTGAATGTCAGCATAATAATTAACTATACATTTTAGATACGATGAGAAATATATAATACAAGTCACTGAAAATATTGGTATCTTATGGATAAAAATTGTGTATCTATATAACTACAGTGACATTGCTTTTGAATTTTGTTTTGTTTTTTTTTTTTTTGAGACAAGGTCTTGCTGTGTACTGGCCTGAACTTACTATGTACTCCATGCTGGCCTCAAAGTCTCAGCAGTCCTCCTGCCTCAGTCTTCTGAGTGCTGAGATTAGAGTCATGCAGCACCACACCTGGTACAATAACATTCCTATTGTGTCTCAGATCAAGAAAGCAAAAGAAATTGAATGTTATTGTTCAGATATGGCATATGACTCTAACAATGAATACAGGATTTCCAGGAAAAGTTCATATAATGTGGTAAAATAAACCAAGTGACATAGTAATAGGACCACATATGCATTAGAACTTGTTCTCTTAAAGAGGTAGTTCAGTCACTAATTCTGATGTAACAGTTGTGTAAATTAGCAAGATGTGACAATGGGACCAAAGAGAGTTAATTGTTAAGTCAGCATAAAAGTGTGAATAATTTCCCATTGAAAATACAGCATCACTGAAAATAAATCAAGAGTTTTATCTTGACCAATATTTGTAAACCCCCATTTCTGTGGAAGGACAGGTGCAAGACAACCCTGGAAATTATCACCTCCTCTCTGAGAAGCAAATAGATTTGAACTAAAGATTTAATATTGTTTCCATGGATAACAGACATCAACTACTGCAATTCATTTTGGTTCCCCCAAGACTGCAAATATACAATGAAGTTTAGTTTCAGTTTTGATTGTTTAACACTAAATGTTTCCTGATTTGTTCCATCTTGAGCTACCATCATCCTTACTGATTTAAGTTTTCAATATTCATTCTCCAGTATCCTACCAAGTAGGTCATTCTGAGGAAGCCACTTGTACAATTGAGTATTGGGTCCTAAGGTATCTGGTTTGTTGCCATCAAATCTCCAAAGAACCTGTTAGGTAAAGACAGCAATATTATATATGTTGAATTTTAAAATTTAGAGACCACCAAGTGTCTTTCATTGTGTAGATTTTAAAACTGAGGACAGGAGATTAAATATTAAGAACCATGAAGATACTGAGACAAATAGAACACCAACATTTTCTATAGTTAGCTTTATATTTAATCAGATTGAATGTAATCATGTTTTACAGAGAGTGACAAATAAGATACTACATTCTTAATTAAATAGGGAAATTGCTATTAAAATATTTAAATAATTTAAATTATTAAATATTTTAGAAATATGGAAATTTGCAAAGAATAATTTCTAATGGTTTTCATTTTCATTAACATACTTTTACAGTAGTAGCTTCCTTGTTCCATTATTAATACTGACTTATTTTTATAAGATATTATGATATTTTACTTATAATCATTTGTTCCATAAGTTAACTTAGTAGAATTGGATGCATAAAATATCACTTTTTGTTGTCTAAATTATGGAATCTACACAATCAGTGTTTGTAAGAAATCATTTATTGATTTTAGGATGTACATGTATACTGACCATCATATTAAAATTATTAATTCTTAATTATAGGAAAAGTTTCAACTGGCATTTTCAATAAGAATCTATAGTATTATCACCACTGGTAGAATAATAAATTAAATTTACAAAATGGAATTAGTTTGAGTTCATATATAAAATAGCTTTTCAAAAATCATTCATATTTTAAAGTAGTTAAATTTTCTTCAACTAGTTCTTTTCTCTTCCATGATGCAATACAAAATATTCACAGCAAAGATGAACAAGATCTGCCATAGCCTAAGCATTTCACATGCAAAAATGAGGTACTGGTTTTAGAAAGGCCAAGTTCTCTTAAACTGGGGCATCACTTATAAATACTTGAGCTCTATTTACTGGGAGTGTGTTGAAAGTAACTTCTGGTTCCCAGCTAAAAATTGGCATAGGAAATTACAAAAGTGCTGTATTGACAGTAACTAAAATCTACCATATTTCACAACTATTTAAAGATTGAAGATTAATTAGATATGTTTAAAAAAAATAATCCCTATTTTTTGCTACAGGATAGGAATCTGAACATCTTCCCAAGACAGGCTTCTTTCTCTTTGACTCATATTTCCCTTTTGCTTTCTTGAGTCAAAGGACATAAACTAATGGAATAAATGCAGAGTCCTTGTGAAGCATATTTTATAATGCACAAGTTTCACTGCAGGAAAGAAGACAACTTCACTGTATTTTTGCTATGTTTCTGTTCCAGATATAGATTGTGCCCATTCCAGCTAGTCTCCCTCTCTTTTTAATTAACATGATTGAGTGGATACATGGATAGTGAGTTGGCTCCAGTTGCTTTTTTCTGCTCTGAATATCCCCCTAAAATGCACCTAAAGAAGTCTACTCCAAAATTGTAATAAACAAAAAGGTGAAGATAACATGGGAATTCTAACCAGCATGATTTACTTCAAACCCTTTTCAATACCTGCTTAATGTTACTGTGATAGTCCATTTTTAAATGAAATCTCTTTCTGAAACAATGCTAATGTATACAGTGACAATACCAACCCCACAGGAAGAAAGAGCAAGTTTCTGAAATCAGACATTTGCAGGGTTTAATGACTCCTTTAGTGGATGTTTGCCAATGAGACCCTTTGCCAACCTTTTGTGGAATCTGTGCAAGGGCTGAAGCAATTGCATTGGCCCTTTCTTCTGTCATGCTGCTGATCATGGACCCCAGAGAAAACACCACGACACCATGTTCCCCAGAGCTCTGCACAAAGTCTTCCATTTCCTGAAAAGCATTTGTTCCATCAGAAAAGCAAAACAACAGCACAGTAAAGGGTATTGAAAACACTGTAATTACAAAAAAATGTTAAAAATCAAGAATTAACAACAATTATTAGAGTGGCTCTGATAAAATGCACATAAGACAAAGTGATAGCTTCAGAATTTCAGGTCAAAATGTACCTGGTAATGTTAATATTTTTGTGTAGTCAAAGTTCAAAAAAACTCTTTACAAAACCAAAGCTTTATATTTCATTTATATTATATGATAATCTCCAGAAAATTGTACTTGTTTATGTTTTTAGTTTACCCAAGAAAAAAAATAATGAGTTTATTCATTTTCTTTTCATTCTTCTCAACTCACACTCTTTTCATGGCTGTTTTCTTAAGTAAAACAATGAAGGTTAGGGTTAGACACATATTTCATTACTTAATCATTCCCTAAAAGTGGAAGTTTAAGTTACTTTCTGGGTTTTTTTTAATAAATAATGGCTAGAGAAATTTGTGCACCTTGATTGTTTTTCTTCACACATATTCAAATAAGCATCTTATAGATAAAGGCTACAAATGTTATTAAGATGATGCACCTTTCTCAATTTCTATTTTGAGCAATTTAATAACAGCTATGATTAGTAATTGTTGCCATTTTTAGAGTTCTTTCTTCTTCCTTTTCTGCTTATTCTATTTCCTACTCCTTCTAACCATTGCTTTTTAATCAAGAAATTCAAGTGTATGAATATACTGCTTAGTAATGCACTAATAATGCCTCATTTATTTGACTTTTGGAGTTATTGTGGGGGTGAAGGGAGGGCAGGGGTATGGGGAACAAATGAGAATGAAGATCTGTCATGTAAAGGTACAAGATCCCAATGAAGAATGTAACTGTACTGTATACTTTAAAAGTACCAATAAACTCAAAGAAAAAAATAAAAAATGAAAAAAATAATTTTAAAAATCATAAATAAAATGGACACTGGATGGGGTAGAGATGTAGTTCAGTGGCACTACGCCTGCCTCACAAGCTCAAGGTCCAGAGTTTGATCCCTAGTACCAAAAAAAGGATATTGGAATTTACCACATAATCAGATTTCAGCTTTATATTGTTGCTAATAAGAAGGTGAACAGAAAAGCCTTAATAAAAGATAACATACACTGAAACAATACAGAATACCTCATCACAGAAGTGTGATGCCAATTCAAAATAGATAAGATTATTGGGTTTGTTCTTAAGGAATATCACACTATACACTGCCAAAATAATATTGTGATTCACATCAAATCAGTTTTCAGAGAAATTACAGGAACTGTAAAGTGTTTAATACCTAAGCAGGGGATCTTTCCTCTGCATTCACTTTGCCAGGTAACATTGATGCCACAAGTGTGTCACTGCAGGGAACTTTACTGAGGTGTCTTACAGGCTTGACAAATGGCATCAGATACCTGTTTCAAGAAAGTAACCCATCCTTTGTACCTTGAAATATAAAACTCTGGGATCTGAAGTGAGGAGTGGTTTCAGTGCTACAAACAAGGGAAGGAGATGTTAGGTTTAGTAGCAGATATTGCTGGGGCCTCACAGGTATAAAATTGACCAATACTCTTTTTTTGTAAGTAGAATACAAACATAGAACTTTAGTTCTTCCAATAAAATTTATTCATGTGATCTTGTTCATCCATTGTATTGCCTGAAATTATATATTTACTTTCAAAGAAATAAAGAGGGGATGGGGATTTGGCTCAGTGGTTCCACCACCTGCTTTGCAAGAGCAAGGGACAGAGTTTGATCCCTGGCACCAAAAAAGATAAAGAAATCAATAGGATCTTTTCACTATGACTTTACATGGATTATCATCTTAAACTGTTGTGTCGTGTTGTCAGTTCAAATTTAATGTGAATATTTTATCAAATATTAATTAACATTAATAATAAGATAGCAATAACATCAATAGAGCACAATTAATTCTGGAACACTTACTAAATGGTACAAATCTTTCTCTTTTAGTTCTTTCTTTCTTTCTTTCTTTCTTTCTTTCTTTCTTTCTTTCTTCTTATACTGGGGATTGAACTCAGGTCCTTGCCCTTGTGAGGAAGGAGGCAGAACCACTGAGCTAAATTCCCATCTCCAAATACTTACTTTTAACTATTTTATATTTTACACTTTCCACAGCAGTCAATATGAACTTCTACTCTGATTGTCTGAGTAGGTTTTGGACATGCGTGCATACCTTAGTCTACATTTCATCATGTGTTGCCTGAACTCTTACAACTATGTTCTCAATGCTGCCCATTTCTACCATTCTGCATCTCTGCAATCTAATTCACTCGTGGCATATTCAGGGATTTATTGCTTCTAGAAGAAAAATGATCATCTGTTTCCCTAGCTCAATTTTTTTTCTCTGTGTCAACAATGTTTTTATTAGATATTTTGGACTCTGTCATGTGGTTATAAATTAGCTATCCAGAAAAATTATCATCCTCATAAAATAAGCTTGCAGTTCTTGGGAATTGTTTCTACTCTTCTACTATGTTTTGTGTCTTTTGCTACAACTCACCCCTTACCTATTCCTGCACCTTGTTCATTTATCATCATCATCATTATTATTAATTTTTCTGGGATGGTTTCTATAATCTCATTTAAAAGTTTTCTTAGTAATATAATCCTTCCCTTTTAAGGTATGTTTCACACAATATCTATTACTTGATTATATTATATTTTTCCAAATAGTATACACAATGTGTGGAAGGGGAAGACGCTCTGTCTATGCTGTTTCTAGGCTTATTTTACACTTACTGGTCATGTACACTAGTCAGTTTACACACTTTGAATGAATACCTGAATGACAGTGAGGAATAATGAGGACCATAATTAATGGACTCTTTTCTGAGTACCTTCTAGCATCCCATATTTTTCTGTAATGGTAGTGAAATGCAGATACTTCTACTGAAATAAAAATATGAATTTTCTTTTTTAAAACAGGGCCTTTTTCTGCAGTCAACACTATCTTTGAATTTGCTATGTTGCCCAGGTCTGGTCAAACAGATCGCTCTCCATCCTTAGCCTCTGGAGTTCTAGTTTTACAGGTATGTGCTACCATTCCTAACTGAAATACAGGTTTTTAATTGGCATGATACTTGTCTGTTTCCCACATATTTCTCAATATGAGTAAAGACTCTCAAAGAACAGTGCAGAGCATTCCCACAGAAAATTAAAAGAAAAACTAAAGACAAGAATGTGTTTACCTTAGGCAGAGGTTTGGCAGGTTTGCAGTGGAGTCCTCCCACAAAATCAAAATTTGGTAAGCTGGGCCGAGGGAATTCCAAATCCCAGTAGCTTCGAATGAGCCACATTTCTGCCTTTGCCATTGTCTCATATAATGTTGTGCGTAAGGCAGAGGTGGCAGGTTTGCAGTGGAGTCCTCCCACAAAATCAAAATTTGGTAAGCTGGGCCGAGGGAATTCCAAATCCCAGTAGCTTCGAATGAGCCACATTTCTGCCTTTGCCATTGTCTCATATAATGTTGTGCGTTTTCCTGAATGGAGGAGGAAAAAAAAGAAAAATCTGGGCAATTAGATAACTATTCAGTGAATATACCATATTTTTAAATGTAGGAATAATATATAAATTGACTATTCATTGACAAAAATATATTTACATATAAACAAAACATTTTGTTTTACATGTGGCTCAATTGTGTCTTTGAGAAAGGATGAGATGAGACTACATCTCTAATGTTACTTCACTATGTTCACATTAATAAGTAGTTTTCAAAAATCATTATATAATTAACCATATGTTCCTGTTTCTCTAAAGCTCTCAGCATAACAGATGCAAATGTCAACAAATATTCCACCTTCAGAGTCAAGCAATCCTACTATAATTTTGGAACCAGTTTTTCAGAAATCATTTAGTATCTCCTATTTACCAAGCTGGTACCTGATCTAAGTGGACTGTGAGTTCTATAAGACTATAGCTCAATTTCTTGTACTACCCTTGTTTTTGGTTAATATTAGTAGATTAGTAATATGTAATTATCATTTGCAAGCATTTGCAATCATTTTTTGGGACATTAGCAGAAATTATAGAAACCAAGATCGGTTCTTATACTTAATTGTGGCTCATTCTTTGGTGAAATGGAAAAATGTAATGAAGAACACTATATGTATGTTCACCTTTCTACATATTTTAAAACTTTAAAATGGATAATTTGTAAGGACTTATGAGAGCATGTTGAATCATTACAATATGCAAGTTATAATTTTTGAGTCTGAGATAGAACACTGCACATTTCACAAGAGTAAAAGTATTTTTGTATAGAAAATAAAAAATTATTATTTTAGGTAAGGAAACTAGTCTACTCATGAGAAAACAGTTCCCTCAGTGCTACTACATACCTTTGCTAGAAACTCTTCAATCTACTTGTTTTCACTCATAAGGACATTAGGGAGGTGCCTAATGACTTTTGTTGTAAAATGAAAAGAAGGTAAAATTGATATGAAATCCCAAAGTTAAAGCCTGAGTGTTTCACTGTAGAGTTGTGTGACCTCCTCCTAGAATGATCTATACAGTTAACAGGCAAATGGCTGCAATATGACCACATGATGTAAATATTTCTACTATATCTGTCCAGTTGACAGATAATTTTACTTTTTACTTTATCTGGTACACATAAAAGACAAAATCCTCTTATTTTACGCTTATCCAATCTCACTTGCAAATGCACAAGATACTAAAGACTTCACTCCACTACTTAAAAGCATGACTTACCTAAAGTTTCACTGTAAAATTGATTCCAATTTTTCTCATTAAATATTTCAAACCAACCTTCAAATAAAAGCATACCTATCATATTTTTTACCCTCTCAATGAAACTCATTTGACCACCTAGTCCTAAAAGCATAGTAGGTACATAAGAAGGAGGAACTATAAGCCCTCCACCATGTTTTTCCACTTGGAAGCCAGGAGAGAAGCGGAGACTGTACACAAAAGGTATTTTTAGAAGCTCAGCCAGCAGCTCACCACAGGGAGCAATGGGATCTGCAAGAAGGACATCAAATCTTGATTCGTGGAGTTTTGTCATAAGCTTCTTGTTTGAGACTGCTTCTTTACAGAAAAAGTGAACATTGTCAGAAAAAGCTTTAGAAAAGTCATCTGAGTTTAGAAAACAAAATAAACATGAATCTATTGACCCAATATTAATCAACTTAGTGAGCAACTGAGAATAAAATTCTTCCAGTTGCTCTCTACTGACAGATGAAGGAAATGTTTCAAATTTAATTCCAGATGATGAATTCACATCAACAAAAATGAAACTTGAAGGTCTCAGGACTGTCACCTCATGTCCCCTCTGGATAAGTTCCTCTATTATATTCTTCATGCTCATCCAGTGGCTGTATTCCATCGGCCACACCAGCACCTTTCCACAGCTCCCAGAGTTGAAATAACAACTCAGTTGTAGCAGCAGCAGAGCAGAGATCCATGCCATGGACATCTTGGTAACATGAAGTATTTCTTTTCAAATTGTGCTACCTTCTGTCATTGCCCATGCTTATATTCAGTGAAAAATTAACCAAAAGTTAAAAGGTTACTTGGACTGATCAAAGTACGTATATCAAATTGACAAAGCATGAGGACTGATGGCAGATAGAAAAGGTAAATATAAATAATGACAGGTGTTTATAAGAGCATTTAATTTCCCTGTTATGGTTAAGTGATGTCAGCTAGCTTGGACTCAATAACCAGCAAGCATCAGTCACCTGTATAACATCAGTACTATGCTCCCAGGACAGCAGCAAATAGAAGGTGACTGTCCCTGTAATCTTGTGACAAGGATCTAGAAATACAGTAATTATACTGGTCATATGAAATTCTTGGATATCATGATTCAAGAAAACTATATAATTTGATGCTATATAATTTACATATATACATTTCACTAATTTACACTGTGTAGTTCAATCTTTCATAATATTTTTACAGAAATATGTAACATTCTAATACTCAATTATCTATAGTATATCCTGCACTCTTCCTCAAGAAAACAGCTAGATGCCTGACTGGACTGCTTAGACTTCTTACATCTAAAACAAAGGACCAAATCAAGGAAAATCAGCAGTGATTTCCCTAAAGTAGTTGAGGCAGATCACTAAGGTAGAGTGAGGATGTGGCAGGATTTTGAACAGCTGGTATTCACAATGGTCTAAAGAAATAGAAGTAAGCACAGACCAGCTATTGTCCTATCTTCTGAGAACAGCTCAGAGCCAAGGGGCACTTGGCTTGTTAAGAAGAATATAATTTTTACTATGTTGATTTTCCCTGCCCAGGAACAAGGGATGTCTTTCCATTTTCTAATATCATGCTGGGTATCTTCCCCAAAGAATTTAAAAAATCATACTACAGTGAAATATGTGCACCCCTGTTCACAGAGCCACAGTTTGTAATAGCTAAAATTTGGAAGTAGACCAATTGACCATCAACTGGAAATTGGATAAAGCAAGTGTAGTTTTTTTTTAAATAAAATGGAGTACTATTCAGCCATAAAGAATGAGAAACTAGACACATTTATAGCTAAATGGGTGCACAATGAGGTGATACTCTTAAGTGAAATAAATAGGATGCAGATGTGTAAATACCAAATAGTTTCTCTAGTGTGAGAAACTGAAAGTGTAAATAAGTACTGGAAGGTTATTAATGTTAAATTTGAAGAAAAGGTGAAAGTGGAAGAGGAAGAAGGAGGTGTAGGGGAAAAGAAAGATGGGAGTGGAATTGACACTAGAAAAAGAAAAAATGGAAACAAAGTCTTAGTAGATAAGGGGTGGAGGGGGTGAAGGGAGGGCAGGGTAATAGGGTAAAAATAAGGACCACAATGGATTATGTAAAGGTGCAAATTTTCAATGATGAATGTCATTACATTGTATACCTTAAATGCACTAATAAAATAATTTTTTAAAAGAATATCAGCAGAAAGTTCCTGGGAGTACCAATTCAGGCCACAGACACCTGAAGTATTTGCTGCTGGAAAAGTTTGTGATCCTGAGGCTACTTTGGCAATGTGCCAGTTACCATACTGTTGCAGTACACCAGAAAAAAATCCCTTCTAATACTTCACACTTTACTATCAAAATTCCTGCTGTACAGGTGACTCTACCCACCTGAGTGTTTTGTTTTTTGTTTTTTTAAGTCACTGGCCCACTCTTGCAGTACCTCAGTTTACTCACCTCTGAAAACTAAACAAGTGTTGCTGCTCACACTCCCACAGCCTTGGAAAATAGGTGGAAACTCTACCCTGAGCAGATCAGCCTGTGGAATACCCTAGGGAAATATTGCAGACTCTGGAGGTTCCTGCTGTTGTTGTTGCAGCTCAGTGTTTCCCATTCACCCACACTTGACCCTAAAAAGAAGCTAGGAGGTCCACACAGAGGAATTCGGCTCACAGAAGCTTTTGGAAGTGGATAGGGAGCATCATCTTCTGTCCCATGTCCTTCCCCTTTGATTAGGATACTCCCTCACCTTTGATGGCTACACATAGAGATGAATGTTCTCACTCTTGCCTTGCAGAAAGATGTGTGACATTTCCTCTGTGCATTGATTCCCCTTTCTCCATAGATTCTGAAGTTCCACGAATTTCCCAGCTGAAGTCCCCACATATGTACATAGCTCTAGGCTTTAACTGCAACTCTATTTCTTTTGAGGGCTGACACTCCATTTCCTTGTGTACTTTTCAGATTCTGTCTAACAAATCCCTTTCTGTGTCTTGCTGAAAATTCTGTTTTGGGTGATGGAAATTACTACTTCCACTTCTGATTCCCTAGGGAACCAAGAGAAGTGGCCAGGGTGGAGGGGCTCTAAATCATGACAATATACAAATGCTTATCTATTTAATCTGTACTAGAAACCATTTACAACACCTGAAGCTGCATTCTTTGAGCTCAACTTTTTCTTACACTCTTGAAATTTCAAAAAAAAAACTATATAAGCTTTTAAATATTCTTTGTCTATAATGCTTGATAGCAAGAAAATTGGTTTTATTAAAACAGAGCCCCCTGCAGTCTGTATACAGTAATCTAGAAGTTTTCCAGTGATTCCATTTTAAAATGTCCAGAGATAAATATGAAAGTGGGATCAATAGTCCAATCATGGGGATGAACATTCTTGCAAGTTAAAAATGAGCTCACACAGCTCCTCAACTCTGGCGTGCCTCTCAATGCCATCCTTGCAAGCATAGAAGTTACAATCTCACTTTTGCTGCCTCCAAAGTCCAATTTATATTTAGGTAAGTAAATTCATTTCTTTTACAACTGAGTACTTACATTGACAAGAAACCCTTATATAATTTTAGAAAAAATTAATGATAATGCATTTACTTATCTCATGTTTGATTTAAATGTGTTTTCAATGTAATATGATGTTTCTTTTTATATGCTTTTAACCAATTTCAGTTTGTTTCAATGATTATTTGACTTTTAGGCAGAAAGTGTTGACTTCTGTCAAATTATTTGTTTCTAAATATATTTATATTATAATTCAGGCTTGTTGAAATTTGTCTATAATGATGCGGTGTATTTATCATTGAGTTTTCAGATGTCAAACATGGCATTTAAGAATAAGTTCAAAAAGATCATGGCATATACTCATTTTTGCATGTTTCTGGATATACTTTTTCTACTGTTTTTGAGTTCTTTTTTTCTTTTTATTGAGTTTATTGGTACAATCTAGGTATACAGTAAAGTTACATTCATCATTGGAATCCTCTACCTTTACATAATAGGTCTTGATTCTAATTTTTCCCCCTTGTCCCTGCCCTCCCTTCACCCCCTCCTCCCCTCCCCATTTACAAACACTTTATTTCCATTTTTTCAGTTTCTCATATTTTTTTCCTCTCCCTTATTACCTTTCCCCCACCCTTCCCACTTTCCTTACACCTTTAGCC